CGCAAAACAAGTGTGAATATCTCTTAAGATGACGGACTGGCGAGCTGTCAATTTTGAGCGTTTTTGTGAATTGAATCGCTTGCGAGGTCTGTAAATTAAGTGATGACACTGATTTTTTATTCAAATATAATTACAATTGTATGTCACCCTCAAAATAAGTTCCTTCTGAAGCCACACAGCGCTGGAGATGGTTCTTCCACTCCTCATTGCAGTGCTGGAACTCCGATTGTCGCTAATCAAGCCGTAAAGATCGAGGTAGTCCAGAACCGCGCGATTTATGCACCTCTTCATCACCTTACTTATAACATAATGCACAGCTATAGGCCTGTAGTTAGATCCTTTTTTTATGATGGGTTGGATATGAGCAAGTTTAGTCAAAAATTCTATCGATTTTTTGACATAATAACCCTGCCGCTCTTTAGCTGCTACAAGAGGAAAAGCAGCTGACCTAGGGCCCCCAAGGTGCTTCCTCCCATTCCCCTCCACTCACCAGTTACCACGAGGACTGTACACCACTAGATTTGGAATAGGTAATGATGAAAAAAACATAACAGCTGGACCATAATTCTATATTTCCTTCCTGTATACCTCTCAAACTCCTACTCATTTGAAAGTGTGGAAAATATATTCTGAGGGATCATAGCTTCAATCTGTGTCTATGGTCACAAGCCTAATATTTAAGGCAAATGTTTGCTATGAATTTTCAATAGATAAATAAAACAAGAAGTTAAAATGATTATTTATTCTCCATAAATACATATGTAATGTATAATTAGAATTGAAAAATACCATATCTAGTATACTGCTATACAGTCTTTGTATATTAAACTATATCATATAGTAAAACTATTATAAAAATAACATGTATATTTTCATTTGTATACTGTTTTTCAAGGCACTACCGTTATAACATAGCACTCGAAAGTTATGTGGGTGAATGTAGCTGTTGTGAACAACGAACAAAGCAAATGCAGTATTTATCTGATACTATTTAAACTTTTTTTATGATAATACAGCATGTGTAAAAATGAGCTTGAAAATTAAATTCAGATCCGAAACAAATCACCATTACAATTCTGTACCGTAGATAGTGTGTTTCTTCAGAAAATTGACTGAAATTGAGCATTACCTTAAGAATCATTACGAGCTGGTAAAAAAATTATTCCATGAAAGAATAAGATGTGCTGTTACTATATTATGTATTTAGTTTTGCCTGGAAACTGTTTTATAATATTACATAAACATTAGTTGATATTTTGATATGATGCTGGGTTCATCAGCTATCCCAATGATTTTGAAGGTCTTTCCTGAGCCTGAAACTCTGTATGTGAAATGTGCGCTATTAAAAAATGGCGACTATGTAGAAAGATACATTAAAGATCAACGTTTCCAATGGTAAATTCGTTTTTTCAAATAAAAAATCCATTGTGACTGAAAAAAACGTGGGATCCTTAATTTTGAGATAACCCTCGTATTTATGAAGAATTCCGCATTCTCTTGATGGTCCTAATTTTTTGTGTCTGCTGCAATTAAGGCTGACATGGAAACTCACGCTGATCGAACGTTTTGCTTATCAAGTTAGTCGTCATGTAAGATGTAATGTTTGTAGAATCCGTCGTCAAGCATAAAAGACACAGTCTCCAATTGGTTTTCTCATGCCTATGCCAGCTGCTGAAGCTAGACATTTGAACCTATTTAATTACATAAGGATTATCATTGGACATAATAGCACACTTCTCATGATCAGGGAAGACGTTCACAATCCTCAACATGTCAAGAGTTCTAACATTATTTATGTGGGCATATTAGTGAAAATATACCACATCGTCGCTCCCATTGCAACTGCAACTTTTCAGGAGGTGCTTCCGAGTGTTTGTTATAAGTCTGGATTGGAAGATGAAATATACTCGTATTTAAGTGACCCTTACAATTGTTTTCATCCAGTTCCAACTGTCTATATTTTATGTGCTTCTTACTTCAGCACATTTATATTTTTTGTTTTTTACATATTTAACTTTAAATGCGATGCGCCTCATTATCAGATGTTACCTTTTGCTACGTAGAGAACACAAACACAAATCATACATTTAAGTGATGTATTTTTGACAACAATGCATGAAAATCACCAGCCTTCAATATGGACCTTCCATGATTTCTCCAAAGCGTTGGACTGCATTTCACATGACATTGCTCAATAAATAAACAAAAGAGCTAAACCGTCGAATAAAAAATAGCCATACCCAAGAGCGCCGGATTTGAACTTGCTTAGATTTTTTTGTACAAATGATATGGTGTTTACTTGATGACAGCTCTCATGTCAAGACCACGCGATTAGAAGTCATGGAGTAGTATTCAAACGAGCAATGTTTAATTATTGTGAAAATTCACTACAAAAATGGTGAAAATTATGCGGAAACAGTTCGCAAATTAAGTACAATTTTCGGTCGCAACAATGCGCCAATGTGTCGACGGTTCGCCTGGTCGGTCCCTCGAAAATATAGTCGCAGTGCTGGAAAGTGTGGCCGAAAACAGAAAATTAATATTATCTGGAATATATTATGCATTACTAAGCCTGGTAAGCACATAATCATGTTATTTTAATCCTATAAATAAAACTAAAAGGTGATTTTTTTAGATCCTAAAACAGATATTGACAATATACCTATGTGCCTGGATGATTCTGATGACTCAAGGCTTGACCAAAACTTCGTAATGATTGTGAGTTTAAAACTTGCAACCAAAAAGGTGAACAGCTTTGCGGTTGCGGATTCTGGCTTTGCAATCGGCATTACTTTAGTGAAATTTGTACTGTTCATAATACGGCGGATTCAGACTCAGAAGGGATTGCCAAAGCAATACGAAAAAAAGATAATAGTAAAGTTTCTAAGGCTATAGACCATGAAGAACACTTCCAGCAGCATTGCGAGTTTATTGGATGCATAGAAGAAGTCTGGGCTGCCTGTCACATGTGCACAGAACTACTTTGTTTGGATCACTTCGAGGAAAATGTAGGTTGCGATAAACATAAACTATGTACCAATTACTTTAATAATACCAATAATAATAATAATAATTTTCCCGTGACCACAGAAATTTCCGCACGGAAGACTAAAACAGAAGATTTTAAAGTTGAAGGTGGTGAAACAGAGATACCTCTTAAGAAGAAAGAAAGTCGAAATGCATATCTAAAAGAAGTTAAGAAAAGGAAACTCGCTGGCAAAGATTACACAATGTTTAATACGATGAATTTAGTCGCTCCACAATTACTTAAACCAGCTTGTTCTAGCGATTATTGCAAGAAATTTGAAAAAAATGTCATTTATTTACAAAAGACCAGCGCCAAGAAATTATGACTGATTTTTATTCACTTAAGAGCCTAGATCTTCGAAGGCAATACATATGTAGTTTAATAGAAATTAGTTTTCTCAAAATTCAGAAGACCAATTCCAGAAAAGCTAAGAGAAATGATTTTTTCTTACCCTATTTTAGGGAAAAACTGTCAGTATGTAGAGTTATTTTTTTAAATACTTTAAGTATATCAGAAAAAGTTATGAGAACGTATATGGAAAAAAATAAACCAAGTGGTGTAGTTGAAAAAGAAGGTAGAGGTGGAAGATCAGAAGCAATGAAAAAGCGAGATAACAGATTTAAAACAGATGTTTTACAGCATATAAATAGATATCCCAGGGTGGAGTCCCATTATTGTAGACAGAAATCTTCCAAGGAGTACCTATCACCACAACTTTCTATTACAAAAATGTTTGACATGTGCTTGAAAGAAGATGAAGACAAAAATCCTGCTAGTTTCAACACATACAGAAGAGCATGTAAATCTTTAAATGTTTCAGTGCATAAACCCAAAAAACACCAATGCACTTTGTGCAATACCTATTATACCGCTGACGAAATTACTAAAAAAAAAAGTTAGATAAATTAAAGAAAAAGGGAAGCAAAAGGCAATGGAAAACAAAAGGCACATTAATGCTGTGTTCGATCTTCAACAGGTTATTCAGTTACCAATTACCCAGGAAAGCGCATTATTTTATAAGTAGCGTCTAAGTTTTTATAATTTCACGATATATGAATTAGCGAACAAAGACTGTTATTGCTATACTTGGGATCAAACGAAAAGTAAAAGGGGGGTTGCCGAAATCTCTTCTTGTATTTTTCGTTTTTTGCTAATTTGTGATGAAAAGGGCGCCAAATCAGTGGATCTTTTTTCTGATGGCTGTTTCGGCCACAACAAAAATTCTGTATTGCCCGCAATGTTCTTGTTTTTCTTAAAAACCAGTAGGGACGTTAGGACGATTGTCCATTACTTTTTTGAAGTCTGCCACGGACAAGGTGAGGGAGATTCGGCACACAGTACTATAAGCAGAGCTATAAAAGCGTCAGATTATTCCCATAATTAAACTGGCAAGAAAAAACATTCTTATATAGTCGCAGAAATGGACTATGATGATTTTTTAAACTTTAAAAAGCTTTCGCAGGATTTGAGAATCCTTTCCTTGAGAAAAGCGCAAGCTGGTGAAATAATTGGCGTAAACTGGACCAAAATGCTTAACATAATGGTAACTAAAAGTCATATTAACCAAATATTTTTTAAAACCAGCCACTTTGCGGATACTTTTAGTTCCATAGAATTGCCACGAAATGTAGATCTGTTTAAAGTAACGGTTGACAAGTTGAATAAAGGACTTCAAAAAGTTCCTCAAATTTAACTCTTTGATATCATTATGTCCGGCAGTTCGCGTTCGTGAATACCAACAATATTATAAAAATTTACCACACTAAAGCAGTTAAGTTCTTTTTGTTTTTAATAATTATAATTTTATGTTTAAGTTTAATTTTTTTTTTCAATAAGACGGAGTAGCAGTTCAACGGATTCTTCTAAAAAAACGCGGTGCTGGGAGAAAGTGTTTCATGGGGCAAAGAAGGTTTATGAATTCTATAATGATAATCGTGATACTATTAACTCTGCAGCTTCATCCGCATTGAAGATGGTTCGTGGTTCCGATGTGCCAGTACCGGATCCAGTTAATATTAATGCAATAGAACAATTTAAATTAGATCATGAATTAAAAAATAAACAAGAAGGTATTATCCGCGAACTAACAGACGAAGAAGTGCGTGAATTCGAAACGATTCATGATGTTAAAACGGTGGTTGGTGTTGCTGAAAACATGGAAAAGCGTCAAGCATTCTTAGCTAAAAAAGTTTCAGATGTTAGAAATTCTGTAAATAATGTACAGCAAGCGATGATTAAAGATATAGCGTTGTTAGAGTAGAGTAGAGAAATTGCCACTTGTAGATCAGTACAAAAATTAGAAGGTAAGATTAAGCAGTTATTAGAAATGCGACCTGCCACACAGCACGCGAAACAATGGTGTTACCGCGGACCAAGTTTCCAGTTCTCGGTTTGGCGATCCAAATTGGCCACCAAGATCGTGCGATCTAACGCCAATGGACTTCTTCCTCTGGGGCTATGTGAAGGAAAAGCTGTATGCGAACAAGCCACAAACAGTTGAACGCCTTAAAGGAGAGATACGGCGCGTCATCAACGAAACAGAGCCACAGTTGTGCGAAAACATTATCCAGAATTTTAAGAAAAGACTGACCCTGTGCCAGAGGTTTCGTGGTGGCCATTTACCGGATGTCCTATTACATGTTTAATCGCAACTATTCCTCTTCATGTTGAAATATAAATACTCGCTTAATTCGAAAAGAAATTGTGTTTTTCTTGAAAATCAAATCCAGCGCTCTTATTCAGACACCCTTTAGTAATAGGAATGTCAACATTCTTGTCATCCAAGTTGTTACGAAAATGAGATGTGAATATCACGTACATATATGAACTACCAAGATTAAGCAAAAAATTTTTTTAGTAATATAGCTTTCTTCGTAGCATGAGATGCTCCTGTAGCAACGCGACGGTCGGTATAGTTTCGCATTTGGAAATACAATCCGATCAATCCCCTCTGAATACGCCTTTATGTTACGAAGATTTCTGACTGAAAACAAGGTATCTCTTGATGGAATAGCAACTTGTAGTGGAAACAGAAATACGCCCTTTTGTCACACGGTGAGCAGGAGTTACGTTACGCCAAATCAATATCTCAATTTAACGAAAAAATAAAGTATGCTCTTTTGCAAGGGAAGCGACGACATCTTTAAATTCATACACTCAAAATTATTCTTGATAATACTTATGCGTAAAAGTGTTTTTTCTAATTTCATGCACAGAGTCAGGGGTACCACGTAGTGTAGTATGAATTAGAAACGTTTAGAATTACTAATGTAAAAACACTTATACAAAATTCAATGTCTATAAAAATCAATAATGTGCACCAAACTCAATTCAATAAGGCAGTAAACTTGAGAACAGGACCGGCTTCTTTTACCGCATCTTTTTAAGATTGTGCTGCATGCTTGTGTATTTATTATGCAAATAGTGAAATGAGCACCTTTGGTCGATGTTTACGTTTCGTTTTCATTGCAATCTTTATATTGTCTATTCTTCTTATTGAAACTTATTATGAAGGTTCTTTACATTGTTTATCAAATTACTGGTAATATGCAAGAGATTTCCACTTGCATATACACTGAAAGCAGCAACTTCTTTGGCAACCATATAAATACATGATTTTTTTGTACTACCTTTCATAATATTCAGAAATCGTACTGTAATATTCACTGATAACGGGTGATTCATTTAAAGATACTTTTTTCTATAAATTCGTCAGTTGCCTTAATCTGTGGTGGTATTTCTTTTCAGTAGTATCTGACAGTCCGGCACATAGGAAATATAAGAAGTATTACAATAAGAAAACTAGACAAACATAAATAAATAGTAACCTTACTTTATGGAAGAGAAATAAAAAGCGCAATCTTGTACGGATGTGAAATATCGGGAGAAGGCAATAGAAAGTAGGGTAGTCGGCGATAGTAAGAACGGGCAGTCAGGTCGCCGTCAGATACACAAATGGACGATGTTTGAAAGCTAATATCTGGGTGAAAGTAAAAGAAGCATTTGGGTATATGAGGGAACAAGGTACAATAGCGCGCAAAAGCTTGGAAACAAATATCCTTATTATGAACTATTTCATATACCTAAATTAAAATTGTAAACAGTTTTTGTAATGACAAAAGTATGGAAACATTTCAGTTTTGCCGTATTTATTCGTTCTGCAATACTCTAGTAAAAGGATTTTCAAAAGATTTAAGGACAAAGTAATTGAATTATTTAGAAGTGATGTCAGAAATGTTGACATTTCTCAAAGATTACAAATGAACAAAGGAACGATTTCGAAAATTATTAGTAAATATTAAGAATACGGATCAACAGCAACGCGGCCCAGGTGCGGAAGACCGAAAAACCCGATTATTTGTTCAGATTTTCAAAATAATCGTAGAGGAGGGTGCCGAGAATCTTTCCGTAAAAAAAATAGTACTTATAAAGAATAAAAAATTAGCGCACTTTTTAAAAATTACTAAGAATGTTTCAAAACTTTTGTCCGCTACTGTATGTCAGTGAGGATTATATGGGTTAGAAGAATACACTATTTGCTTCCTGAAATTCGAGCTCGTGATCTCCAGAATATTTAGTTTCAACAAGATGGCGCTATTTGGCACACAGCAAGTGAAACCATGGCTTTAATGCGACAATTCGTTGACCTGGATCGTGTGATATTACATATCGAAACTTTTGCCTTTGGGGCTATGTAAAGTTCAAAATCTAAGAAGCTAAATCGGGTACAGTTAAAAAATTAAAAACCTTCCTTACTTTTAGTTGAATAATCTTAAAAAAAAAATAATCCTGGATAATAAAGATAACCATATGGAGTTGTGCGTGTTTTTTTTTTAATTTGAAAGAAGTATCTTCAAGTGAATCACCAATTACAAAGGCACCTTTACCTACACAACATGTAGCTGCTAATAATTACGAAAGGACACAATTTTAACAATACTTATCTGATCAAATTATAAATCATTCTAAAAAAATACTTTCCTAATACGACAAAAAAATATTTATTAAAAATTTTATTTTAGTGGTAACTTGCGAGAAAGACGAAATCTTTATCCTGGACGTAAGATGCATCAGCTGCCATCTTCAAGACGAATTAAAAAAATTAAAATATTATCCACCTTTGAGACAAAAATAATGTTGCTATGGTTGACTTCAAACCCAATTCTAAATTCGATGTTACACATCCTAAAGAATCTTAAGTAGAAGAGGCGAACACCTCGCCTTCATGAGAGAAATTTTCGGACTTTTTTACCCCTTAACATGAATGAAGATCATCCTGGACAAAAAAGGCCTTAATATTTTTTCTCTAAAGTTTGCCGTTTTTCAGTTATAAGCTACATAAGTAGTGTTATCCAGAATTTGGACTTCAAATCGCTTATATCTCGAAGTCATAATAGTTATCGGAAAAATCTAAAAAAAATCTAAGCAGTTGACTTTTCTGGCCTCTTGTTCTATGTTAGGAGGCATTCAACAAACTTGAGAAACAAAATCGAGTCGGAACTTTTCTCCCATGAATGCAAGGTTTTCTCCTAGTCTAAATACAATCGGTAACAGAATAATCACATGAATCATATCATGCGCATCTTCCGTTATCACAAAATCCATTATGTAAATGTATATAAAATATAAATATATACCAACCATCTAATCCACAATATGACTTACTGGCCCTTTTGTGGCTCAAAATGCAAGAAATACAAGAACGCGTATCCAATCCGATACAGAAAGCATCAAGTATCACGTTCAAACTCTCTATATCCCTCTGCACCTGTGAAAATTACATCTACCCATATCCTCATCGCTTCCGGAGATGGCGCCATAAGATAATAGAGACGCTCGTGTGTCTTCACTATGAATGTTAGATGAGGGTTGGGAGACTTCACACTGTTTAGGTGGTCCAGGTAGACTTCTTCAATAGCCTGTAAGCAAAAGATAGCTTTCTAGACAACTATTCGTTATAGTTTCAAAAGTACAATCACCATTATCAAATTAAAACCTGTCAAGGGAAATGGGAGGCTTCCGGCAATATCAGCTGCAAAAATAGCTACAAACAAAGCTGGAGGAGCGTGTGGTGGTTCTCCGCAATGCCTTTCCACGCCAGAGATTGAAATCCCATAAGAAAATGGACTGGGTAGCACCCAAACCAAAACAAATTAAGCTACAATATGAACGGGTACTACTCCACAAACTGGTGTTCAGCACCTAATATTTCAGAATCTGGAAGTTAAACAAATGGCGCTCACACCACAATCTCAGGATGACGAAACACCTAACTTTAAAAAGGAAGGTTTAATGAGTGGCCTTGAAGAAGATATGTTCGATAGGAAACCAAATAACGGAGAAAAACCACCAGTTTTTTTTTTCAACACAATACTGAATCGTTGACAAAAAAGGTATAATACTTGTGAAATTATACAATCAATAAACTATGAAATTTACCAAAAGAAAATCATTGAAAAGGGTTTGGCCTAGGAGTGGGCACTCTACTATTAATAAAGAGGAATTCAAATTACTAGTAAAAAAAGGTTACGTGATTTTGGCATGTGACACACCCAGTAACCATTCTTGGAATATTGTTAACCTGGTTCATAGGTTTCGATCTCCGGATCAAGTGGAAAAATATATTTTTGTAGTTAAATTAGGTGATTTATAAAGAATTTCTTGATATAATATGGGGATTAAAGGTAATTCTTACACAACTCGTAGGCGTATACTTTAGAAGAAATCGATTATATTCATTTGATCCATTACTAGAAAGATCCCACGAGTCAATAGTAAAATCTGGCCTTGGATCCTCCTGCTACTGTGTGAAGTCGCGGTGCGAGTGTTTATTTGATCAATGTCACATTCCACGCTTGGACATTTCAAATAAAACATATTAATTTCGTTAACACCTCACACACACGGCGTGTGTCATTCCATTTCAACGAAGACCTGGACTTCCTGGTTCTGTTTAGACGACATCCCAATATAACTGACTTACCTGGAAGTATGCGCCACCTCTCGGTTTCTTTTCACTCTTATCCAGATAATATGTAAATGTATGTTTACTTCGATCGAAAACGAACCATCTCCTTGACCAACTGTTCAACTTGGAGCCTTTCTTGTGCAAAAATCCCCGACAGGTGATGGAGTTTATGATGACATGTGGACATAGCACCACTTGATGACCTGAAAAAAAAGTCTTTATAAAATATATGCAATTTGAAATTTTGTTTAAATTTAAACGTTTTTTGAGTTACATATTTCCCATACATATACTAAATGACATATAAATCCGAACACCCAGTTTAAATGGTTTTATTTTAATAAAATTTTGTATAAGTACTTAATGAAGCATAATAAGTAAATGATAAAAATTTCAAAATGATTGCACTGCTTTAAAGCCCTTTGATCTTTAATAATGTGTGGATGCACCGTGATGTGCTACACATTCTCCAACGCGCCTAGGCATGCTTCTGATCAGGTGGTCAATGTCCTCCTGTGGTATCTCATTCCAGGCAACCACCAACTCCTCTCGAAGTGCTTCTAGAGTCTGAGGAGGACGTTGCAAATTGAGCAATCACCTACCCATCATATCCCACACGTGCTCAATTGGGGATAAGTCGGGAGATCTTGGTGGCCATGGTAACAATGTTACATCATTATATTGAAAGAAGTGACTCTTGCAACATGTGGTCGGGCATTATCTTGTTGGAAAGTTGGATCTTCCAGGGTGTCAAGATAGGGTAAAAGATGGGGTTCTAGAACTTCGTGGATATAACGCTACGCGTTCATGTTACCTCTGATGAAGATTAAAGGTGACCTGGAACCATAAGCTATAGCACCCCAACAGTGTGATGAACATGTCTTTCAACAAAAAACTGTGGATTCCTCCTTTCACCACGTCGCCTTCTAACCCTGGCATGACCATCGTGCATGCCTAAACAAAATCGAGACTCGTCACTAAAGACAATACTGTTCCATTCCTGATCCCCGAGTGACCGTTGTCTGCACCACTCAAGGCGATTACGTCGGTGTTCTCGAGTTAAAGGGAGGACCCAGTGTGGCCGGTATGAAAACAAGCCAAAACTTCTCATTCGTCGGTAAACACTTCGCATGCCAATAGGTCTTCCATGTTCTGCAAACCATTCATTTGCAATGGACCTGGTAGTGGAGAAACGGTCCCTTAAGGCCAATAATCTTCGGCGGCGATCTTCACGGTCTGTTGTTCTACGCGGCGTCCAATGCCCCTTGCTCTTTGCGTACGGCCTTCTCGAAGCCATGCCTAACAACACCTAACCACAGTGTCTACACTTTTTTGCACTCTAACTGCAATTGCCCGAAAAGAGAGTCCAGCTTCCCGAAGTCACACTATACGGCCCCTATCAAACTCACTAAGTTGACGAAATCGTACAGGTCTCCGTACTCTAGGCATCGTAACCGATCGTAAAGGATGTCAAAAACCAAAATCCGCCAACGTTGATTCTTTACTGCAGCTGAAATATTCATTTTTAGAGCGTTAGTGAATTAAAAAAAAAGCAGTATAAAAACCGGAATGTCCAACTGATAAGGCTGAAAATTTTTTCACTTGTTATTTACAGTAAGATAAATACATTCACCAACTTTTATTAAAATAAAACCATTTAAACTGGGTGTTCGGATTTATATGTCACTTAGTATAGTTATTATACAAATCACATGCAACACTTCGTTTTGATGAAATATCCAAACTACAAGAGACAAAACTTTATTATTATTTCACTTCTTCCAATAGCATTATACATAAGTTTTAATGACTTAACACCGATACATAAAAGATCTTCGATCTAAAATGAGGTTTCCATCTATAATAGAACTGCAGTTTCAACAGTTGAAACAGGTTGTTTACATCCATTTTTTTGCTCGTGTGGTGGAAAAAATATATTTGAAATTCGTACACTATAAGAGCGTTTGTATTCTTATTTTCTCGAAGGAATCAGCCAGATTCGATGGCTGACAGGGATAAATTACTTACAAAATTGCATCACTACAGATTTAAAGGATCCGTATGCAAAATTCTACAAAACTATTTAATTGACAGAAGTCAAAAAACCAGAACTGGATCTACATTATCAAGATCAAAAAATATTTCTGTTGGTATACCACAAGGTAGTAAACTAGGTCCACTACTATTTATTTTATAAATTAATGACATTTGAAATATTTTAGATTATTGTAAACTTCAGATATTTACAGATGATACATTAATATTCATATCAGATGAAACTGCTTTAAAAATGCTAAATTCTGACTTGGCAAAAATTGTAAATTGGTTAAATGTAAATAAACTAAAATTGAGTACCTCTAAAACAAAATGTATGCTAATACCTAAATGAAAATACTATCACAGTTAGGATAAATGGAGAAATAATTGAACATGTTGAATCAATGAAATATTTAGGTAAATATATTAATAGTAAACTAAAGTTTGAGGATCACTATGAATACATTATTTCAAAAATTGCCAAAAAACAAATTACTTTTATAGGGCTTCTCATAGTCTTGGTACCTATTCCAAGAAAATAGTTCATAATACAATTATTCTACCGCATTTACTATATTGTTCAACTATCTTGTTCACTGCCAATGGAGCTGTATTCTCAAAATTACAAGTATTGCAAAATAAAGCTATGAGAATAACATTGAATAAAAATAAGTACACCAAAATAAAATCTATGTTACAAGAATTGCAGTGGTTGAATATAAAAAATTTCATATCATATTAGGTTCTCATTTTTTTATTTAAAATAAAAAATCATCTTTTGCCAGAACATTTAGAACACTACATAGAATTGAATACATTACCACAATTATTATACAAGAGGAAACTTAGATTTTCATTTACAAAATTGCAATACTAATATAACTAGCAAATCAATATTTCAGAAAGGATTACTTGAATTTAATAAACTAAATAATGATATAAAGTCTACTTCTAATTTAAAGATATTTAAAAGAAAATTTAAGGAATATTTCATGGACAATGAAAACTCTTAGAGATGCAAATTTTGTTTTTTTTTCTGAATATCTGTATGTTATGTAATTGTTTAGTTTTTTAGCAGAATGTAATTGTAGCAATCATGCTAAATAAATCTTAAACAAACAAACTGATTGCAGCGTGAGAGAAGTTGTGTGATTCTATTCGGAAGTGGTGCTGATTTAATGAATGATTCTTACATAAGGCGAAGTGTGTTCAGTGAAATGGAAATTATTTTGGGATACAATAAATAGTTTTTTAATACGACATACGAGTGAGTAATCGAGGTGTTACTTACCAGCTGACTCAATATGAGCCTTCAAATCCAAATCAGACCCCCTGATCGGCAAGTACCTGGTCAATGGCCTCTGTTTATCGCTGACAGGCTTCCTCTTGCGGTTGAGCGTGCCCGTTTCGAGACTCATCTCACTTGTATCCGACAGAGGGCGCGGAGATTCGGCCTGCTCGCTTTCACTGCGATGCTGCAACAATTTTCATCAATGTTACATTTAATACAAACTAACCTGGACTGCTCTCACCGAAAACAACAACTGCAACCCATTCCCCCTCCCTCCCTAATATATTTTACCGGACTTCTGAAGCACCTTGCATATAGCTCATAAATTTTAGAGCTAATTATCCCACAACTAAGCAGTGGATTTTCTCAAAACATTTTACTAAAGTTTCACTTGATTAGTTTTTGAAGCATTACTCCTAATTTTTTTCCTATGACATTTGAAATTACTAAAACATATTAAGTTCTTCATAAAGCTCATGTAACCGTTATATGAATTACCCCATGAACACATCTAACAACATTCCCCTGAGAATTATCTAACGAACATAGCTTTCGGCTTCAATCAATTTTTGCAACAACGTTTGACATTTGTCATAAAAACAGGAATGTCTTTTAAGTTTTGCATATAGAAATATAGTAGGCCGCGCGGATCGAACGTCAGTACTGAATCTTAACCTCACTCTTTATTGAAAGTTTCACAACAATACGTGCAGTGTTCTCACTACAGTGAATTTTTAAGTGTCACCAAGTCATTAGAAAAATGGAACTCAACCGAGAACATTTTCGCGCCATAATTTATTACAACTTTCAGAGACAATTATCGCAACAAGAATGCCTTGCTGAGTTATTGTCTGTTTTCGGCAACGAAGCGCCACATCAGTCGACAATTTCCCGTTGGAATGGGGAATTCAAACGTGGACGGGTGAGTCTTAGCGACGATCCCATGGTGGGTGCACCAAAAACGGCAGTCACCCAGGAAAACGTCGATGCTGTGCGCAAACTCATCATTGAAGATAGACATGTGACATATCGCGAGATTGAGGCGTCCTTGAAGATCTCAAAGACCTCAATTCAAAAAATTTTACATGAAGAATTATGAGTAAGAAAATTAGTTTCTCGTTGGATACCCCACGTGTTGACTGAAGAGCAGAAAGCAGCCAGGGTTAATTGGTGTCAAAAAACGCTTGACCGTTTCCATTCCGGACTCAAAAAATGTGTACAGCATTGTTAGTGGTGATGAATCGTGGATTTACTGTTATGAACCAGAAAATAAACGACAGTCGGGTGTTTGGGTGTTCCAAGGTGAAGAAAAGCCAACAAAAGTCATCCGTTCTCAAAGTGTTTCGAAAAAGATGGTCGCGACATTTGTGTCAAAAGCGGGTCATATTGCAACACTTTCTCTTAATGAGCAAATAACTGTTTTTGCGGATTGGTATACCACCATTTGTTTGCCAAAAGTCATCACCGAGCTTCGAAAAATCAACCCCGAAAGAAGAATCATCCTCCACCAAGACAATGCAAGCTCGCCCACAGCCCAAAAAACAAGGCAGTATTTAGCGGAAGAAAACGTGGAATTATTGGACCATCCTCCATATAGTCCTAACGATTTCTTTACTTTCCCGAAAATTAAAAACAGACTGCGTGGTCAAAGGTTTCAGTCACCAGAAGAAGCAGTTGACGCATTCAAAAATGCCGGTTTGGATCTGCCAGCAAACTGGTGGAATAAGTGCTTCGAAAATTGGTTCGAGCGCATGCAGATGTGTATTAATCTTCGAAAAACAATAGTCATTCATAACTACCTACCGTGTTGTTTTATTTCCATATGCAAAACTTAAAAGACATCCCTCGTATAATCAAACATAAGTACTACCTTAAAACAACAACATACTCTTGAAAGAATTCACATCGCCGCCAACTTTAAATTGAAGTCTCACAACGTAATTTAAACCATAAAATAAGTAGTGCATTGAATGATATACTATCTTTTCCAGGTAATACGACAGTTATATCTACCGATAAAACTTGAGGTTGTAACACCGCATATACAGTGCTTTCTAAAAAGGTACCCTCCCCCCCGCCACTTATTTTTTGAACGGGTTAAATTAGCAAGTTGAAATTCGGTACGAAATCTATACATGAATACTATATCTAGAGTAAAAACGGCAGATGAAATCTAGCTGGTAGCTTGGACATTTTTTAAGAGAATAGGAGGTCATGTTTAAGCTACTTATAAATACTTTATCTTATTTTATCTACCTACAGGTTAAACCCAATCACAGGAAATGCTCTAAGTTAACAAAAATATAATAAATACAGACATGCTATTTAGACTTATCTTAGAGCAAAATCCGTTTGTTGATGACTCCCTGGCCTTGGAATGCGGAAATATATTGTTTAAGTGATCTTCTACCTTCTGGGTATCTGTATAGATCTCATAAACTTGTCCCTGAGTGTCTAATATTCAGAGATACGTTATACAATATAAAATCGCTAACTTTTAATACGACAGACAGGAAGGATCTCAAATTTGAGCGTTTTTGTATTCATTCTGGGCTAACCATGCAACCAATAATTAAAACACTTTAGTAGGTCATATCAATCTTCTTCTCTCGTGAGAATCTATCCGAATATATATTTTTTTTAAATGCAGTCTCACATTTTAATTAATGGAAAATGCCATTAAAAAAATGTAAAAATCTTACAATTTTTTAACAGATCGTCCTATATTTTATTTCACATTCAGAGCTCCTCTCGCATCTTTTATTCGAGCAGTCCGTGGACTTTGGATCTTATATGATGAGGATGGATCAGACGCAGATAGGCAGTTCCAATAGAAGAAGATAATTATAACCTACTGTAACGTTTTGATGACTAGGAGCTTGTAAACGAAGTATCACATGACCCTCAGTACTATTTGAACATGTTCCAAAATGGTACTGAGAGAAACTTTTATAAATTTTACTTTAAAATATAGTATTCAAGAACTACGACATTCAACTAGTTAACTTGATCCGTTGAAAAAATTAGAGGAGAACGTGTTTGAAAACCACTGTAACATATGAATGTTTACCTTATATGATATGCAAAATGACTAATATATGACAACATACAGCAATCAACTCGATGCAGTTTGAAAGATCAGCAAAAACACGCTTTTACTTATCAAAGATAATTTTGACTTATGAAGTGGAATTAAAATAATCAAATAATTCGATATAATCTCAGGACGGATAATAAATTGTGCAGAGTATTATAAGCTGAGGTGTAAATAACTACTCATGCGAAAACGATTTTTCAAAATGAAATTATATGTAAGCAAAATTACAGTCTAAAAGAGAGTCAATAGAGAATTTTAGCAGTCACAAATAGCCGTAAAATGTGAAATGATTTTATGTTATGCCTAATGTTTACGTATGCCATATGCGTGATTGCCAAAACTGATAGGTCAATATTTGCTGTTTGCTTTGAATCAAACCCCAGTAAGTTAAGCGATTAATTGGCGTATTGACAAAATGGAGAGGAAGGAAACCATCAAGTAGAACTTGCGTTAAAAAATGTCCCGGTGTGTATTGATCGACCAGCCAAAGATTGCTAGGGACGAAAGGGGGAAATGCGATGAAAAAACCTTACCATTAGACGATTTTATATGGAGTCATAGGCGGAGATCGGAGAGACTTGAATTATTAATTGAATTTATATTTTATTACAACTGGTAGTATTAATATTTTTTTGCGATTCATAATGACGTGATACCAAACATACATTATAAGAAATAAATATACACAAACACTGAATATTGAGAACAAAATAAATATATTTTTTAGGCAACAAGTAATATTCCTATGTACGCATTATGATTGAACAGCAAAACAAATTATGCATTCTTCTAAAATAGAATACAACAAGTCAAAAATATCTGACTGAATAGAAAAATATAGGAAAACAAAAAGTAATTTCTTGATGAAATAACCCATAAACAACACATAGAATTAGACTTTCTACTGAGATACTAAAAGCCACAAACCAATAGTATAATAAATGAATATCTAAAAATTCTAAAAGGTAGCCAATCTAGTATAGTTTCAATCCTGATTAGAGTCATGATCACTGTCTGAGGAACTGTCATTGCTATCACTTTCACCTCCTATGTTGATTATTATTTCTTCCTGTATTTCTTGAATGAGACTGTCTTTTTCCCAATATTCATCTTCAATTTTTATAACATGTCCAATAACCTTTTGCCAGTCACTGGCACTTACTGAAGCGATGGCCTTATTAGAAATTTCATCTAGTTTTTTTATAGTAAATTCGCCGCTTGTATTATGGCTTCTAATGAAAAATTTTACTTGTGCCCAAATCATCTCTATGGGATTAAACTGACACATATAGGGTGGCGTTCGAAGTGGGGTGTGTCCGAAACTTCTTATTAAATTATCTATCTTATAATTTTTCTCATCAGATGGTGGCCTATGTAGACAAGCTATTTCATAAAGCTCCATTTTTTTAGCATTAGGATCATGCTCTATACCTTTTTTGCTCAACCACGTGATGATGTCTCTTTTTAGAGAAGATCTAGTTGGAGGCTTGTCTTCCAAAGCTGAATGGTAAGGTGCATTATCCATTATTATAATACTATTAGGAGGAATGTTAGGAAATAGTTTTTCAGTAAGCCACTTCGTGAAATTTTCTTGGTTCATTTGACCGTGATAATCACCAGTGGCACAGCCAGCCTTGAAAATGAGACAGGCTCCAGGAACAAAACCATCTTGCGAACCCGCATGAACAATTATAAGTCGTCCTGGAAATGAATAAATAGCCTCATTTTAGTGTTATTTTAAGTTTGCCAACACCTTTTTGAATCACTATGTATAAAAAACATATTTTTGAGAAAAAAATACTTGCAAGGGATTATGTATTCAATTAGACAAATTAAATGAGCACTTATTAAGAATATTCCAAAATTGAGAAAAATGTATAATAAGCAAAATCGAGGTGAAAGAAACTTTATTACCTGTAGAACTTATATTGCTCAGGACACCCATAATTTCTTCGCTTTGCCAGCATTTCTTGAAAGTGAGGTCATTATCAACCCAAGTTTCGTCCAAATAAATAATATGCCTTCCTTCTTCCCGGAACTTTTTAATAGACCTAAGATACTTGTATCGCCAATGTAAAATACTGGGTCTTTCCATTAGTAATTTCCTTTTGTTGTGGCATTTACGCCAGTAAAATCCTTTTGCTTTTAAAAGCAGCCTCAACGATTCTTTACCAAATGGAAATTCCATTTCTTCCTTCAGTTTGATTAGAAGTTTACTACAAGTAGGTACCACTTTAAAATCACAGTAAAATTTTTCTATCATTCTCCGAATAATGGAAAAATCGACTCCATCAATTTTTTGGATCACAGAAGGGCGTGATCTCTTTTTTCCGGGAGAAGCTAAAGGCTGTGTGGAGGTTGCATTTTGCCTGTCTTTATCTTCTTTTCTAATTTTACTTATAGTTCGTTCACTAACACCCGTATAATATGCCGCCCTTGCATTTCTAGCTACCAGTGGATAAACGAAAGTATTGTTAGCCGCTTCTGCATCGCAAGCACGTATCACGTTTGCTATTATTTCCCTTGCCTGGCTGTGAATAACTTTCCCATGCTTGAATTCCATTATCACCACTAAACAGTAAATTATATTTTCAAAGTATTTGCCAACTGCCTACGCCTATGGGAGTAGGTTTATAAATGACCGTGCCATCGGCACGTTATTCTAGTTTCAGATAAGATAAGAGTTTTGGACCAATCAGCGACCGGATGTTTACCTGCGGCCTGGGTTTTCCAGCTACATTGCCAAATTCAGCGGAACAATTCTATATCTTAAATATGTTAATATGTATGGACCGCATTTTATGTAGAACATCTGACAACTTCGCAATTTTTTGTCCGCATTCTTTCGGCTTGCAATCTTTCGCTGGTCCAACATTACCTAAGATTATTCATATCATCATATAGTTGACTACAGCTTCGATTGTATCAACAAACCTTATATACCCTACTATATGGCGCATGTGAGTTTTTACACATTTTATGCTGGCTTATCGACTATTGAATGTTTAAATGAGGAATTCAATTTTACATAAGTTGCCTCTATTGAGAAATATTTGTCTTTTTGGAGAAAAACTGGCTTGATCATTTGAAAAAGAATACGTAAAAAAAATTTTAATCAGTTCTATTTTGAAAATACGCTGACTTTAGTGAAGTCTATCATTGAAAATTTCAAGTATTGTATTAGAAAAGTAATCGTATCTTACCATAGCGTTATTTGAACGATACATTTATTTTGTACTTATTCTCATCAGTGGCGAGGAAATTTACAATGCTTGGTACTAATCTTGGTAATGGGACATTTTCAGACATACAGTAATGGACAAAAGTAATAGACAAATATGAATATTTACCTAAATACCTTTAGAAAACGAATTCATACTTCATTGCTCCATAATCAAACGCGTTATTAGTAGAAAATCTAAATTCCTTGTTTTTATATTATCTGCAATGAACACAATACAAGTCTAAGTATAATCACTTTTTTATGAGGGACAAAAATATGTAGACAAATTCTTTTCAACATTAGTTTAGTACAGTTATACAAAGATGGTCAACTTCAAGTCGACATTGCCAAAAATTTGAAGCTGAAGCGTAAAGCAGTTTGGGCAATATTGAACAAATATAAACAAAAAGGTATCTTGGAAGCCTCTAAGAGAAGTGGCCGGCCTATAAAACTAAATGCTAGATCAGTTAGATTAATAAAAGTAATTTCGTCCAAAGATCCGTTTAAAATCCCAAGACAAATAAAAGCCGAAATCGAGACAAAAGGAATTGTCAGTGTTTCTAGGAAAACTATAAGTAGAAGATTAAATGATTTGAAGTTATTTGCACGTTGTCCGAGTAAGAAGCCGCTAATCTCGAGGAAAAACCGTAAAGACCGATTACAATTT